GCTATATATTCTGCCTCAGCTGTGGATAAAGCCACTGCACTTTGCTTCTTACTAGACCATGAAACCAGAGAGGTTCCTACAAACTGACAACTACCAGTGGTGCTACGACGATCAGTAAGACTACCAGCAAAATCAGAATCACTGTAGCCTAATAGATCAAAGCGATCATGCTGGGGATACCATAGACCTACATCAGATGTGCCTTTAATATACCTAAAAATGCGCTTTAAGGCAGCTAAATGACTTTCTTTGGGTGCTGATTGAAACCGAGCACATAGACAAACAGAGAAGAGGATGTCAGGTCGACTGGCAGTAAGATAGAGTAAAGAACCTATCATGCCCCTATACCAAGACTCGTTTACCGGGTTTCCTATCTCATCCTGACAAAGCTTAGTAGTAGTAGCCATCGGTGTAGGGCTAGGATTTAGGGAGTTGAAGCCAAATTTACTAAGCATGGAGGAGATGTACTTAGATTGATTAATAAAAATACCTGCACAAGTTTGTTTTATTTGTAGACCTAGGAAGAATTGTAGCTCACCCATCATGCTCATCTCAAAAACACTTTTCATAGAAGCACAGAAATCAGAACATAGTTGATCATTGGTTGATCCAAAAACAATGTCATCGACATATACTTGAACCAAAAGAAGATCACTAGAAACACGTTTAATAAACAAAGTTTTGTCTACGGATCCTTGCTCAAAGCCTTGACTTAGTAAGAACGACGTGAGTCGGTCATACCAAGAACGAGGAGCTTGCTTAAGGCCGTAGAGAGCTTTATTTAGTTTAAAAACGTAGTTTGGGTGTTCATGACTTACAAAACCAGGGGGCTGGGTTACATAGACATCTTCTTCTATGATACCATTTAAGAAGTCACTCTTAACATCCATCTGATATAATTTAAAGTTCATATAACTAGCAAAAGCACAGAGAAGACGGATTGATTCGAGACGAGCAACAGGTGCAAATGTCTCATCATAGTCAATCCCTTCTTCTTGTGAGTATCCTTGAGCAACTAAACGAGCTTTATTACGGATTATTATACCTTCTTCATCGGTTTTATTCCGAAAAACCCATTTTGTTCCTAAAGGAGTCACAGTATCAGGACATGGAACTAGATCCCACACATGAAGATGTTCAAATTGAGTCAATTCTTCAATCATAGCAAAAGACCATTCATCATCTTTCAGGGCTTCCTTATAATTTCTAGGTTCATGTTGAGAAACAAAGACGGATTGGCCAGGAGTGTACTTACCTCGAGTTCTGACCCCATATGTTATTTGGCCAATGACCTGACTTGTGGGATGTCGTTTTGTGATGTGTGCTGGAGCTGTCAAAGTGTCTTTCAGATCCAGATTGTGAGTGTCAAGTTCTGGATCACACGAGTGGACTTCAAGAGAGTCTTCGGATGCAGTAGGGAGTGGTGTAGGGATCTCTTGATGTATGTCTACCTCAGAATTGACAATTGTTGCAGGAGTCGAGGAGTCTGCATCTGTAGGTTGAGTCGTGGCCGATGCATTTGATGAATTTGTCATCTCTGCAAAGTCAAATACTTCCATATCTGGGTTGCTAGGCTGCAAAGCACCGTTTCTAGGGGATAGAGAAGAGAACAACTGCTTTGTGCCAGTCATGTGATGGGAGCACCCACTATCCATATACCAGTGAGGCTCATCATTCATGTCTAAGTTAAATGTTGCTGTTTTGAAGGCAAGTTCAGCAGAAGAGTGAGCAGAGTTACCTTCTACATTCATGGCAAAGGCCATAAACGCTTCCTCGTCTACATGATCATCGTCTGACTCAGAGTCGTAGTCACTCCAAGAGGCCATCATGGCTTTTTCTTTGGCTTTGAGTGTGAGAGGACAATGTGCACGGATATGGCCTGGTTGGCCACACTTGTAGCAGCCTTGTGGTTCCTTAGCCGAAGTACCTGCATCCACATCTCTGGTCTGCCTAGACGGCAGCCTATCCTTGAATCCAGGGTGAGTTCTATCAGTTCTATCCTGACTAGTGAATTTTCCGGAGGTGGTGTTGAACCGTTTTTGCTCATTCTTATGTTTAATTATTCGTTGAAGGCGCTTACTAAGAAAGGCTATTTCCTTATCAATATCAAGAAACGAATCATCTTCAGAGTCATCCTGATAGGCTCTAGTTCGAAAAGCGAGACTTTTCTGCCTCTTATCTTCACCATGAACTTGTCTAACAACATGCTCATGGCTCAATAATGAACCAATCAATTCATCAACTGGTAAAGTATTTAGATTTTGCGCCTCCTCGACTGCAGTTCTTTTAGGTAACCATTCCTTAGGTAATGAACGAAGAATCTTTCGATTTATATCCTTACTTACGAAAGATTTTCCTAAACCCTTTAATTTGTTTAGAATGATAGTAAAGCGAGAATACATGGATTGAATATCCTCACCTAGGTTCATGGCGAATGTCTCGTACTCGTGCATGAGGAGATCGATGCGTGTCTCCTTGATGTTCGAGGTTCCTTCGTATGTCTTCTCAAGGGCAATCCAGATCTCCTGAGCCGTGTCGCAGTGCTCGATCTTATCCGCCTCAGTCGCTGCCATGGCCGAGTGAAGAATATGCATCGCCCTTTTGTTTAGCTGGGCTCTTTTCTTCTGAGCATCATTCCAGGTGGATCGCTGGGCAAGATCCATGGCAAGAGGACCATCGCTTACCACCGACCAAAGAGCTTCATCGACTCCCCAAAGGAAAGTTTCCATGCGGCGTTTCTAGGAGGTGTAATTCGTTCCTGTGAATAAAGGTGGATGATTGTATGATGCATGACCAAAGACAGAGGATCCCATGATCGATTCCCTTGGCAGTATGTAGCTCAATCAAGGGATTGGCTCTGATACCAATTGTAATCAAAGGATCTGATTTTAGGGATTGTAAGTTTGGGAAAGTAAAGCAGAAGAAGAAGAGGGAAGAAGATCGAAAATGAAGGAGAAGTCCTTCGGTGTTTTTCGTTCTGATTCTCCCCTTCAGTTTGGGCCTGATCTTCTCAAGCCCACTCGAAATCTATGAGCAGAAAGCCAACGTTGAGATAGGCTTGAGAATTGGTGAGCCCAGCCGAGGAGACCAATAGAGAACACTTAGGTATGTTTTCTTCCTTGGATCAAAATCCTTGGAAAACAGAGAATTGATACGGAAGATGATGTACGAAAAGAAAAGTGCATAAATCTAAAGAACACACGATATTTTTAACGTGGTTCACCCTGGTGCAATGGGCTACGTCCACACCTACGACTCTATTTTTATTTTCTTTACGATCTAACTTACACATACAAAAGAAGCAAATTGAAACGAAGACTCAAAGAAAGAAATTCGAGAAATGAGAAGAATGACAAATAAACAACCCAAATTCCAAACTCCGGAATTTGTATCAGCCACTAGCAAAGAACCTCTTCCCCTTTGCTAAACCCTTTTGTTTAGAAACCCTTTACCGTTCTCTCACAAAAGTGCCTTGAGGTAATGCGATTCAGTCTTTTTTATAGATGAGGAGGTGAAGATTTGTGTGAGTTGGAAACACCTCGTCTTTCCTTATTTGCAACGCTTGATTTGGGGAGTGATTCTTGAGCTGATTATGCAATCAATCAGTTGATTGATTTTGACTTGATTTCCAAGCTTCTAGTGATGTTGATTTACTCCCAACGAGCTATTTTGTCGACTGTCTCTGATTTCCCAAATCTTTCTACAACAACGTCCAGCTCCCACCTTTGTGAGGTGCTCGTTGAGCTCTCCGGGTTTGCTTCTTGCCGGGCGTTCTTCATCAGCAGTTTGATATGTCTGTGCAGGGGCGTCTTTGTTCTGGATTGTGTTGTTTTGCTTGTTGTTCATCGTTGACCCGAGCTTCTCTTGCGGCCCCGGGTTTGTTGCTTTGTTCTTTGCCTTGCTTTGGATCAGCACGGTTTGTTGTCTCATCCCAGGTCTGTCGTTGCTGGCGTGCTGCAGGGAGGGTCTGGCCCCTTCAGCAGCCTCTGGTTTTTCGTTGTTTGGCTTCGTCGTTGGGATCAAGTTTGTTTGATCCATCTTTCTTTCTTTATGTTGTGTTTTGTTTCCTTCCTTGTACCTCCCTCTTAGTTTAATAATATCATCACCATTATCAAAAAAAGATTGCTTATGTTTGCTAGGCTGGCAGAGACTGAATAATCAGGAGTCAAAATCTGCGTTAATGTTTCTTGTCCCACTTTCTATCTAATGTGCAGATGTCACTGGAACTTTCAGCACTTATGAAAGACGTGCTTTCTCTTTCGGTTGATGCTCTAAATATTAAATCGCTATTTGTTATCCCAACTTCAAATTTCTTTCTTTTACTGTACTTTGGAAGCATGCTAGATTTTGCGTCTTTGGCTTTGTTCAAGTTTCAGTGCATTTGATAACACTTATCGTGTTCATTTGAAGTAAACATAATGTGTGTTTGTAGATTGATATGCTGCAAGATATTTTGGATCAGGCTTAATTGCAAGTTTGGTCACTCGAATTCCTATAAAATTTCACGTTTGTCACTCGAATTAATTTATTTCATTTATAGTCACTCGAATTAGTTGAACAGTCCAAGTTCGGTCACTCTCCGTTAACCTCCGTTAGACTCCGTTAATGACGATCGTTAAGTGATGACGTGGCTAACAGAAAGACACAGTCAGCACATTTTAACATTAAAAAAAGACGACCCGACCCTCCAGCTCAGCCTTACCCGCCCTGTCAACCATTTTTTGCCCAACCCGCGAACCAACCGATTCAACGGCCATCCACCTGTCGCCGTCGCCTCCTCATCTTTCATTCATCAGCCATCCACCTGCCGCCCTCGCCCTATTCTTGATACGTCTCCTCTCTCGCTCTTTTCTTCTTCTCTGCCTTAAATTCGCGAGCAAGAGTATCGATCGATCAGGAAGAAGAATTAGAGGCATTGAATCAATCATTCAATCGACGCAACTACTCTCTCCCTCGTCTTCTACTTACTCGCTCAGATCTGGCGAAGAGTGATATCAGAAATGGCGTCAACGTTCAGCGGCGACGAGACTGCTCCTTTCTTCGGCTTCCTCGGAGCCTCATTCGCCCTCGTCTTCTCCTGTAATTTTCGGAACCTTTCTATTTCCGATTTCCGATTCAGTTACTGTAGATCTATGAGGATTAATCTTGGATCTGCGGTTGCGCTCGTGTAATTTGTTGTTGCAGGCATGGGAGCTGCATATGGCACGGCGGAGAGCGGGGTTGGAGTGGCGTCGATGGGGGTGATGAGGCTCGAGCTGGTGATGAAATCCATTGTTCCAGTGGTTATGGCTGGTGTCGAGCAGGAAGCAAAAATGGGTCGAATCCACCCACCCAATGAACCCTTGCATATCGTCGAACACGCGAATCGCTTGGCGGGTGAATCCGGCGGCGATCAGCCGCCGAATGAGGACGGAGAAAGTGGTGAAATTGGGCTGGGAATCTGAATCCTCGTCGTTTTGCTGCCCCATCTGGATGATTAGCTGCCAACAAAAGTCGAATTGGTGAACCTTCGCGAGGATATCGATCATGAGGTTGTAAGCGGCGGAGGTGGCCGGAGAAGAAGGGAGGGAGAGAGAGTAGTGGAAGAGAGATAGGGCGATCTTGGAGCTGTGGCGGAGACGGATTAGGGTCTGGTGGAGGAGGGAAGGCGTGAGCGAGATTCAGTTGAGCTGGAGGCAGGATTCCATGGCGTGGAAAGGGTTGTGGTGGTGGAGGAGCATCTGCGAGAGTAGTTCGCCGTCGGCGGATGGTTGAGTGTGGGGAGCTCGGAGGTGACTGCGGATGCGGAGAAGTTGCGACGGCGGAGGAGGAAGGTAGTGGTGGCGAGGGCTCGATCTCTGATTATTTTTCAGGGGGTTGTGTCTCGGGTTTGGGTTTGGGTCAATTAATTGGGTTGGTTCGCGGGTTGGGCAAGAAGGGCTGACATGGCCGGTAAATATGACGTGGCGGGTCGGGCCGTCATTTTTTAGTGTTAAATTATGCTGACTGTGATTTTCTGTTAGCCACGTCATCACTTAACGGTCGTCATTAACCGGAGTCTAACGGAAGTTAACGGAGAGTGACCGAACTTGGACTATTCAACTAATTCGAGTGACTATAAATGGAATAAATTAATTCGAGTGGCAAACATGAAATTTTATAGCAATTCGAGTGACCAAACTTGCAATTAAGCCTTTTGGATCATCAACAGAATGTTAAGATACGTCAGATGTTTTTATCGCAAATTCAACAGGTCTTCCCTTTAGTAATTAGATTTTGTGGATATTTTGATGCACTTATTACTTCTTCTGATGTGAAGTAGAAGTTAGCTTATTATTGTAATTTGTGATGAAATCTTGAAATTAACTAGTTGGCTTTGTGTGCCATTTTACTGAACCTGCTGCAGAAAATTTGTGATCAGGCGAGCAAAAAGATGCCTAACAGGTGGATAAAACTCTTACAAATTTAAGGTCGTTATGTTTTTAATTTATGCAGCTTTTGGGTTTGCCTTGCTGTCTGTAATTATTGACTTATTGTGTATTGAAGTCTCAGGACAGCAGAAATGAGAAACTTGATTTGTAAGTTAGTCTTTGAAAGAGCAAGAGTGCAAGTGTGAAACTAGTGGCTGTGAAGCAACAAAAGTTTTTGGTTTCTAACTCTCCTCTTGTTGGTTTTCTGTTTTTCGATTTTTTGCCTTGCTGTGTTTTCAGACATATCTTGCCTTACCTATGACAGAAAAGAAAACAAATGCTGAGCATTGCAGTTCAAGAGTCCCAAATGCTTTAATCATCTGAAGTTTTGTGTCTGCCTGTGCCTAGTTTACACATCAAAGACAAGGTGAATAAATCAGCCTTGAGAACAATTAAAGGAAGGGTACATTCTCAAGTGGTCATGCAGTGGTGCTAAATATTAGTCTCTGACCATTTTCATTGTGCAGCAGAACAAGCTTGGTGAGGGTTTTAAATAAACTTTTCATTTCATGATGATTTATTTAATTATTTCATGTCAGGTGCCCAGTGAGAAGTTGGTTGCATTAAGGCATGAATTTGAAGCTTTGGAGGGAAAGCTTAATACTTCAACTCAGCATATCCGTAGTGAGTACAAAATCGGAACAGAAGCTAGTTGTTCCTTGATGATAGGAATGGTTAATGATCAGCTAAAGAAAAGAATCTCTTGTAGGCACATATATAAAGGGATCCAGGTATGTTCATCTGGAGTGGATTTGGGTTGCTACCCGGAAAAGTCAGGTTTACATTGCTGAAAATATTCTTCCACATTTCTTCAGTTGTATGAAGTTCAGGATTTGGCGAACAAGAATGGTGCCGTCAGCATTGTTCTCAACTACCTGGATTTGTTCTCCCAAAGGTTTAATTGATTGTTTCTATCTTCTAACAAGAAGTTGGTCTCTGAAACAGCGGGGTTTATCCTTCCGACATCATCCCACACAGCATACAAGTTTCCAGGATGAAGAAGTCTAATTTAGAGGCACTCTCTCAACTCAAGCGAAAGCTGCTGTCGATAACCTTAGAGCTGGCTGTTTCCGAATATTAGGACACTATGCAGATGTATTTCTCAGGCGATTAAGAACGTGCAGCAGTATTGTTATTATTTGTGGTGGACCATTACGTTCATGGCTTTCTCTCACTGGCCACTGAACTACTGGTGGGGTTGTTATCGTTAATTGGAGGGGACATAATTTGTCTCCACAGTTGTATAAATTGCTTGTGTCTGTGTTTAGGGTTTTTCTCAAACAGGGTGAAGATTGGCACTGGGTTGTGGTCAGCTAGCCATCTCAGCAATCATTATGTCGAACCACCACCATTCCAACCATTTGATGCGAAGTTCAAGTGATGGACCCAATCTCCCATTGCTTCCATCCGGTGCTTGAGATGGGAACAAAATACTGAAAAGCGGGTGCGTCTTGCTAAGATCTTTCCTGTTTGCTCTCTTTTGAGAAATTCTTTTTTATTCTCAGAGCATTTTGAAATCTATGTCTATTATTATATTCGCGTTGTTCGGTTATGGTATGTTCGCAACATGTAGCTAACAGGTTCTGTATTTGGAGCTTTCATTTATAACTCTTGATTTGATTCTTAAATTAAATAGATTTTATGGTTGTTAGCAATATGTGACATGTGAGTAATTAATAATTAAACACAGAGCAAACTAATTGTTAGCAGTTTTGGATGGACATTTCAAGGTCCTATTTATTTAAACTGAACATGTCAACAGCTTAAATGACATAGTCACATTGACCCATTTTACCAGATTACCTCCCCCTTCAGCAAATATTAATCTCCAATCTTGATGTGCAGGTGGCATGTTGAAACGGATGAAGCTCTGCCGTTTCGGGTCTCAAGAGCCCTTGAAACGGAGGAAGCTCCTGAAACGCAGAAACCCCTAAACTTTGGGAGCGTCTGAGCGCGCATTCAAATCAGTATCACATCAAGGTCCCTTTTTTTCTGCATATGGACACCTGTACCAAACATCACATGGAACTGTGAGGGCACTAAACGCCAATTCCAGCAGCAATTATGATACACTTTTGACGGGTCCTATTCCGGGTAAGTTTTCCTGCCCAACTTTCTGCATAAAGATTCAGAAGATCTTCTCGGAATATGGTGAATTGTTGAGTACAAACATGCTACATGTGGGTTGAATGGTTGATAGTTTGTTGCTAAATACAATTTGAAAAAAACCCTTTTTGTTCTCATTCTATTGAATCCTTTTAGATAAAAAAGAATCAAAAAAATTAAATTTGCTGAATCAAAAACTTGCTTCAGTCAATGTAGTTCCATTCTGGACCAAATCAGATCATGCACCCCTTAGGTCTAAGCTAGTGTTTATTTATGCTGCAATCCAGAATTCACTTAGGTAGCATGGTACTAACTAATTAAGGCCCGTTGCATTTGACCTGTCACGTACGTACTAACTGGATTGCTATGAAGTCGCTGTCCCACGAAAAGCTTATCTCCTTTATGTTTCTTTTCGGGCTAGTTTGATATATAGGTAACTGGGAGTGGAGAGTTGATTAAGATTTCAGCCTTTAGTCCTGTTGGTCTGGAATGCCAATGTGTAACTAAGCCATTTGTTTGGCTTCTTGTCATTGTTACGTGTCGTTTGTTGAAACTATATAGCTTTGTGATTCTCAAGTTCTAATCCTACATCTAATCAGTTCGGGGTAGGGTCCGACTGTTGAAAAAGTCACATGTATTCTCGGCTAGACCCCCTGGATAGTTCGACTTTCGTTTGAGTGTATATCCGTTGGTGGTTTGTTTTCCATTTTTAATCGTTGGGTAGAACTCGTAATACAAATATACAATAAGTAGGTGAAAAATCAACTAAGTTTGGTGGTAGGATGAAAGATAGGTAACTTCGTGTTGTGATTCCAGGACACCGTGCTTGATAGGATGACAGAGATTACAGATGGTATGATCTTAACATGGAAAATCTAGCTTTGAGAGATTTAGCTTAGGATCGTTTGAATTCCGCTGTTTCAATAGGCCCCCTTTCTTTTTGATAACCTCATAGCGAAAAGGAAGTCTGAATGCATTCATTACGCTTTGTCTACTTGTTCCAACTGTTTTGACAACCTAGTTTCTTCAAACCCAGCAAAACTAACAATTGGCCCCTTCTTTTTATATTTTTATATTAAGCTTTTCGTAATCACATTTTCCTCACTCTAAAGTAGATTCCCAGTTAAATAATCCCCTCCTTATTAAGTTTCTTGAAAGTATCATATTCTTCCCTTTCTTCCTTTCTTATTTTAGAACAAGATATCGTATTCTTCTTCTTCTTCCCGGATTCTGCTTCAAAGCTAAGCTGAATCAGCTTATTAATGTGTCAACTTCCACGCTTTTACGTTTAGAGATGAATAAAATATTAGGTTTGGGTGGTGTTTGGTTGTGGAGCGGAACTGTTAATTAGTACTAGAATGATGAGCAGTGGAAAAGAAGAGGCCTAATTTGAGGGTAGCTGTCAATCATTAATTCATAAGAAGCCAGAGTGGGGACTAGGGCGGTCTTAATTAAGTCATTAATCTCTATTTTTATTGATAGGGGGCATTTTCTGTCGATAAAACGCATATATAAATGATGGTAATTAAGAATAATGCTAAAAATAAAAAAGTTGAGATCTTTTATTAGCACTGAAGAGAACTTTTTGAGATCTTTTATTAGCACTTTTTGTTTCAATTTGGTGGGGTTTGGGATCTTTCACATGTCCTTTCTCAATCCTTCAAGTGGGCTGTCCTTTTTTTTCCCCTTCTTTAATTTTTGGGTGGAAAGTGGTGGGCTGAGTGCTTTTACTTTGACAAACAGATGGTTAAAATTTCTCAAGTAACAGTCTGGGAATTTAGTTAAAACGTTGACGTTTTTTTTCTTCTTACTACCTTATCTGCATGACTGAATCTGCACTTGCTGCTTTCGGTGGTCACTCACTTCCCTTTTTGCCTTGTTGTCTCCTT